ATGCAACGGGGACCGTTTTGGGGAAAGTTTCTCGGCTGGTGGTGGGGCACCTGTGTGCCGATTTTGAACGAAATCGGGGGGGACCCCCCATTGACCCAAAATTTTGATTTTCCCGTACAAACTTTCCTATGGGGAAAAAGTGGAATTTTCCTGCAGGACTGTGTCTGGGTAAACGAGAGCTTTCGATTGATACCCATTTTTACCATAGCACCACTTTTTTGTCCGTACAAAGGCGATTTTACGGATATTTTACGAGTCTAGGGGGCTTTACGGGCCTTAAACGTCAATGCAACGGGGACCGTTTTGGGGAAAGTTTCTCGGCTGGTGGTGGGGCACCTGTGTGCCGATTTTGAACGAAATCGGGGGGGACCCCCCATTGACCCAAAATTTTGATTTTCCCGTACAAACTTTCCTATGGGGAAAAAGTGGAATTTTCCTGCAGGACTGTGTCTGGGTAAACGAGAGCTTTCGATTGATACCCATTTTTACCATAGCACCACTTTTTTGTCCGTACAAAGGCGATTTTACGGATATTTTACGAGTCTAGGGGGCTTTACGGGCCTTAAACGTCAATGCAACGGGGACCGTTTTGGGGAAAGTTTCTCGGCTGGTGGTGGGGCACCTGTGTGCCGATTTTGAACGAAATCGGGGGGGACCCCCCATTGACCCAAAATTTTGATTTTCCCGTACAAACTTTCCTATGGGGAAAAAGTGGAATTTTCCTGCAGGACTGTGTCTGGGTAAACGAGAGCTTTCGATTGATACCCATTTTTACCATAGCACCACTTTTTTGTCCGTACAAAGGCGATTTTACGGATATTTTACGAGTCTAGGGGGCTTTACGGGCCTTAAACGTCAATGCAACGGGGACCGTTTTGGGGAAAGTTTCTCGGCTGGTGGTGGGGCACCTGTGTGCCGATTTTGAACGAAATCGGGGGGGACCCCCCATTGACCCAAAATTTTGATTTTCCCGTACAAACTTTCCTATGGGGAAAAAGTGGAATTTTCCTGCAGGACTGTGTCTGGGTAAACGAGAGCTTTCGATTGATACCCATTTTTACCATAGCACCACTTTTTTGTCCGTACAAAGGCGATTTTACGGATATTTTACGAGTCTAGGGGGCTTTACGGGCCTTAAACGTCAATGCAACGGGGACCGTTTTGGGGAAAGTTTCTCGGCTGGTGGTGGGGCACCTGTGTGCCGATTTTGAACGAAATCGGGGGGGATTCCTCATTGACCCAAAATTTTGATTTTCCCGTACAAACTTTCCTATGGGGAAAAAGTGGAATTTTCCTGCAGGACTGTGTCTGGGTAAACGAGAGCTTTCGATTGATACCCATTTTTACCATAGCACCACTTTTTTGTCCGTACAAAGGCGATTTTACGGATATTTTACGAGTCTAGGGGGCTTTACGGGCCTTAAACGTCAATGCAACGGGGACCGTTTTGGGGAAAGTTTCTCGGCTGGTGGTGGGGCACCTGTGTGCCGATTTTGAACGAAATCGGGGGGGACCCCCATTGACCCAAAATTTTGATTTTCCCGTACAAACTTTCCTATGGGGAAAAAGTGGAATTTTCCTGCAGGACTGTGTCTGGGTAAACGAGAGCTTTCGATTGATACCCATTTTTACCATAGCACTACTTTTTTGTCCGTACAAAGGCGATTTTACGGATATTTTACGAGTCTAGGGGGCTTTACGGGCCTTAAACGTCAATGCAACGGGGACCGTTTTGGGGAAAGTTTCTCGGCTGGTGGTGGGGCACCTGTGTGCCGATTTTGAACGAAATCGGGGGGGACCCCCCATTGACCCAAAATTTTGATTTTCCCGTACAAACTTTCCTATGGGGAAAAAGTGGAATTTTCCTGCAGGACTGTGTCTGGGTAAACGAGAGCTTTCGATTGATACCCATTTTTACCATAGCACCACTTTTTGTCCGTACAAAGGCGATTTTACGGATATTTTACGAGTCTAGGGGGCTTTACGGGCCTTAAACGTCAATGCAACGGGGACCGTTTTGGGGAAAGTTTCTCGGCTGGTGGTGGGGCACCTGTGTGCCGATTTTGAACGAAATCGGGGGGGACCCCCCATTGACCCAAAATTTTGATTTTCCCGTACAAACTTTCCTATGGGGAAAAAGTGGAATTTTCCTGCAGGACTGTGTCTGGGTAAACGAGAGCTTTCGATTGATACCCATTTTTACCTCTTTGTGACGTCATTTCTAGGGGAAAACGGGTCATAAAGGTTTCCCTCTACCGGGGCCTTTTTTCCCCCTACCGAATCTGTGCTGTGCTGAACCTGTGCTGAATCTGTGCCAACTTCCGTTACATCCGCCTACAGACGATTGAGTGTCATATACTTAGCCAGTATCCACTTGTCGACCCACACACCCTAGCAGTTTAGGACTGTCTGAATTCATATTTGGTGGGGTACGCGTGTTGGCTTCGTGGCACGTTCATTACGTCAAGCTGTTATTTTTTACATCAGAGGCCTGTTTCACTAACAAATAAAGTGTGTAATTACAAAGAAAAAACTTGAGTTTAAAAGAAATAATTACCAACATTTGAGATTTGGATTTCACGAAACCTTTGAACATGAATTTTGAGTTTAAAATTTGCAAACTTTTTTACAAGAAAAAGTTTTCTAGAAAACATGGGAATCGCAAACTTTCTGTTTCACGAAGACCAGAAACTTGAAGGAAAACATCGTAATTACAAACCTGAAATTCCAGTGGTCCTGACGTTCGGAATTTTGATACTTTTTGTGCAATAATGCAAAACAGTCATATATTTAGAACAACTATGCTTTGTTGAGTCGTTTCATGCTCAATTTTCACTTCGCACACACCCTAAGAAGCAAAATAATCGGTATTAAAATATCGTCATGTTTTGTCATTCGCGCGCCATAATTGCATTCAACAGTCTTCTGCTGTCAAATGTTTTGCGTGTTATTTTCTTTCAATAATAGGACAATGTGAACTATCATTTATATCTTTTTCCAACAGCATCATTATTTATAATTTAATTACGCAGCTTTTGACATGAATACTAGACAATATTTGATACAAAGAAGCAATATCTTTAACATGCTATAGTTCTTGATTAAAAACATTTTTACTGTTTACAAGTTTATTTGCAAACATTTTCTCAGGCTGGCACGGTCCGCAGACATCAAAACAACGGTGCGTCAGCTGATTATTGGTCCTCCGATTCAGGAGAAATTATTAACGCGGGAACGCCGGCGCTAAATAAAGGCGGTAGGATTCACGGCTTCGCATGATCGTGTGCAATATTTTTTATAGTATCAAGCGAGGGGTATTGCTGGAGTTTTGCAAATAAATATTTTGTTCTCAGTTTGGCTATGCGATCGTGAACACTTTATTATCATAGATACGATATGAAACAGGATAAACAGGCCAACCCAAGGCTTATGTAGGCCAACCTTAGACTTCGCATAGCCATGGACATTGCGTAGGAAGGTTTAGGTACTCGCCGATCGTACCACGATACCACGGGCAAGATATCAGACTTTTGGGAGTTTTGTGTCGCTGAAATGTATTTTAAGTGCTAAGAAGGAAAATAATTCAATTTAATGATGTTATGGACAATGGACATTTAGCCATTCCAAGCATATAATTTGCCTGGCTTCGACAACCAGATAGCCAGGTTTATTTCAAGAGCTTCTAAAGAGGTAGTGGATTTAATATCGTTTCTATTACATTTATTTGATAATCCTACATATCAGTAAACCTGCCACGCTATCATTCTCGGCGAGCGAAGCGATTACCGGCACATCGTACCAATGCCAATGCAGCGTCGAGCGTCCGATGGTTTACGATAGGAATTATAACAATAGTTTTAAACTAGCGCTTTTTAGAACCATGGTCCGAAATGGTAATTCAAAGAACCTCTTCCCCTTTCAACTCACCTGAAAAAGCTGCTTTCGTGTACCACCCAGCACCCGTTTCGTAGAATATCAAAATCATAACCGGAGGCGAAGATTATCTTTATGATCTACCACGATTCGTGGGGCTGACTAGTACCGACGGGGATCCCACAAACACGACGGTCACATTGATTAAGCATGATGTACGGCGTAAAGCACCACAACTCGGCCCCAAAAGCGCAACCTTCTGAGATATCTTATATTTAGTTTCAATGCTGGTACTGGTGCAGTTTCAATGCTGGTACTCTGCTCATTTCTGTTCAATGAAGTTATTTCTCGCTTAAATGCGCCTCACATTAATCGTGTGCTGTGCTCCACAATCATTGCGCCGCGCGCTCTTCCTTCTTATCGGCCCCCTTGAGATCGTATCCATCAATATCTATTTGCTTCTAAGTTCTAATGACTTGTAGAGAAACAATTTTAGAGCGTTTAACAAAATAATTGCATAACGAGCGATGGGAAAAGCCCAATCGTCCAACTCATAAAAAACTTTGGGACACAAACAACTGGAAACTGTTGGTAGTTGGTACTTTCGCGCATAGGCGGCGGAACGGGGAGGGCACCGGGGCACCGTGCCCTCCTTTGATTTTGGCATTTTAACAATGGGCTCTATGGGCGTTACATGGAAAGAATGCGACCAAAAGTCGGCAGTGCCCCCCCCCCCCTTCCCCAGTTGAGCTGGGCGCAGGTACTAAATAGCATCAAAGGAAATCCTATATTCATCTCGCCGCATTTAAGCGCACCAATCGAAAGACGACAGCGTGACCGCGCTGACAGGCAATCAACCTGGCCACATAAAACTAGCTAGTGCAAGGAAGATGTCTATATAAACCACTGGACCATGCAAAGCGTTCAGTAAATAAAATACGAGTAAAGATGACGCGTTTGAGGGCAGACTGGCCAAACAGTGACGTTACACGCGGATCTCAACACTGCACAACACATTCATCAAAAAAGATCTCGTGGATCCCTATATACGTCATAACTAGCCCTAGTACGGGGGTATATAGCCATGGACGTAAATGGCCGGCTTAAGGCACAGGATCCCAATTGTCATCCCCATTACGTGGTCCCCAGAAGTCGCCAGGCCGAGAGCTAATGGCAGTTAAGCACATCTTACACGTGCCGACAAACGTGACACAATGAATCCAATAATGAGTCCGCTAATAAGCCTGCCTAATTCTGCATGTAGGCTGCTATTTACCACCACGGCGGAAGGCTAAAACGCATCCATACAGCTCAACATAGGTGTCAATTTCCGCCGGGTTGGGGGTGCTCAAGCTCTTTAGATTCCCCGCCGGCTCGGCTGGCTTGGCTTTGGAGCCCCAACAGACGGTGCGGGTCAAGGTCACCGCTAAGGCAGCGGCGGATTTGCTGCGCCCGGGCAGTGGGCACCCTCAATTCGGTGAAAATCGACACCCATGCAGCTCAACATGACAAAACGCTGCATACAAGCGCACGTCCTCGCATTTAATTGACGCATTTAACTGCGTCACTAACCTCGTACACTGTACAACACTGGTGAGATGACTGTCCGAAGGAAACTGCCGACTTTGGCTGGCAACATTCAGGGTTGGTGACTTATGTACTGAGTTCGGCTGGCTGACGGCGATGTGACTTCAGGACCGGTTGATGAACGGGCCATCCTAGCCCCATACTACAGGAGCCCAGCTGGTCTTGGCGAGCGGCGGCGACTGGACGAGGCTGGACCCCTACTACAGGAGCCCAGCTGGTGCTGACGAGCGGCGGTTACTGGACGAACGGGTCAGCCTGGACCCCTATTGCAGGAGTCCGGCTGGTCTTGGCGAGCGGCGACGACTGGACGAGGCTGGACTCCTACTGCAGGAGTCGAGCTGGTCCTGTCGAGGAAATAGTTCACCTTTAACATGGGATTTTAAACTGAGATAGCAGTCTGATAGAGCAGATTTGTGTATGCCTTATATTTGAACCGTTTGAGATATTCACCTTTTATCAGTGAATATTGGTGCTTAAATTAATGTTCTAGTGCTCATTTACAGCAAGCAGAAACCTCTTCAACACACACAGTGGCCAATCAGCGATGAGAGCACTTACAGGAGCAGAATCCCTTGCAGCTGATAGGTTGTTCAGCTGTAAGTGTTCATAACTCTAATCATTAAAATAATGAAATCCCTTTAGAAGAAGTGTGTAATTCCAAGTTAGAATACATTTAAATTTTATTCATCACATTTTTAACACACCTTTTTAAATTTTATTTATCAAGTTACTCACAGAAGGTGAACAATTTCTTTTAACACTTACCTTGCTTCAATGGTGACATGTAGCTCTTGCAGCAGAGAAGGCACAGCATTTGGCTGCAACTTCAAATATTTACTTGTTGCTATCAATTATTCAGTTTTGAAATGCATACAGGTAGGTACAATGAATCTTGGGTTCTCCTGTAAGAATGCCGACCGCAGAAGCAGAAGTTCATCCAAAGCTTGCGCCTGAAAAAGGGCCAGGTTTAATTATCATTATACCATAAGCACATTTATGCCTAATTTGTAAGAAATAGGTTTAGGTTAGCAGAAATAGGTAAGGTTTTGACTAGACCCCCTGGGCCCTGGGTCACAACAGGAGATGACCCCCGTGATTGGTGGGACCACCAGGCACCAGCACTGGCACAGTCCGTTCTGACCACCGCACACCTATCAGCCACATTTAAAATGCACTACACTACATCCCCCACCACCTGACCACACCAGACCAAATCTGCACCGCGCTACACAAAATCCGCACTGCACCAAGCTAAATCCACGCCACACCAAAGCCTCACCAGCCGGACAAGCCAGCACAGACGAGATCTTGTCGAAATTGCCATGCTTTGCAGAGTGCATACTGGCCTACCTGAACCTGACCTTACCCAGCATATGAGCCTGACTGTCCTTAGCACTGGGAGCTCATTGAGACCAGGCCCCACAAGCCTAGTGGCCTCCTGAAACCTGATTTCCATATGGGGTGAGCTATTTAAGAATGGTGATCGGATATCGAACGTGAGACAAGACAGCAATGAGCAGTGGGCGGTTCATGCAACCATAATCATGTTTCCTTACCACAAGTATCAAAGCAAAATCAAAAATAGCTACCTATCGAATTCAAATTTCACTGGAACCTCACCAAGGATCTTGATACATCTGCACGAAAGATACATCTTGATCCACTCATCTCAATCTTGTATCGCAATGTATGTTCAGTCGATGTACCCCTCGTTCGATGTCTCTCAGACGACGAAGATTGTACGTCGTCCGGCCAATCCCGTTCTAGATCAACGGGGGCTCGGCTGCAATTATGGAATGTGATTGGCCGAATGACGTAGAATCTTTGTCGTCCGAAAAACATCGAACAAGAGTAATGTCGCTACTGCGCCATTGTTGCATCGAATTCGCCCCATAGAAGCACGTGTTAACTCTCTCCCATAGGGCCCTGGGTTGACTCTCTCCATAGGGTCCTGGGTAAACTCTCCCCTTGTCTATTTTCTTTAAACGGGGATAGTTTGGACAACAAAATATTTTCGACCTCAAAAAAAATAAAACTTAATTTTTGATGTACCTCATTGATGCAAAACATCAGAAAAACATTAGAAATTAAGTCAAAGAAACCGATTATTTATAAATGGACAGCTGACGGCATGCCTCCCGTGTCCCCTGGCTTGAAGCTTCGGCTCCGTGTTACCTTAGTATTCTATGACCGTGCATTTTCTTATCGGAGGTGCCACTGGCGATGAAGCTTAGTGAAATCGGTTTTTACGTAGTTGGTAAAAATACTTATGAATTGTAAACTACAAACACTTGTAAATACAAGTTTTTAGTGAAACAGGCCAGATCACAAGGTGCTGTTACGCTATCGCAACTGGTTACACTGAGCTGCCAGTCCGATTTGACTCTTCCAGTCATGTGAAACGGTCACTTGTTGTCACTTTTATATTGACATATGCCAAGCATGGCGCTGTCACCACATTCAGTCATATGCCGCTGTCACATTCAGTTACATTAGTGACAAGAACAAGCTGCAATTCCTGCTGCCGTTGCCTCTTGAAGCATACGGCAACAAAGAGACAAGTTCTGTTACTCTGTCGCTTGGATCTATCAAATAGCATTCCTACACATTTGTAAATGGTTTTTTTGTAGTCATCAGAAGTAATGCAACAAACACTAAAAGCATACTAGCATAGCAACAACATCTTCACATTTGTCGTTGCAGCCTGCAGCCCAGCATTCCAACACAAAGGCATGCTAATCCATGTTTCATTCCGTTAAGAACTTGGCTCGCTGCATCCTGCTGCGACGCGGTTGGCGAAAAGACAATGAAACCAGAAATAGAGGTGTCAGAAAGCCAGCAACGGTCGTATGTGCCCTTATACTGAGGGCTAACGGCCTAGCACATGCCATAATAGCATGAATGGTTACGTGCATTTACTGCGGCCAATAAGGAAGGTCACTGCAGTTCTTTCGCATTATTTCATGGGCCGGTCGTCGCCTGACCGAAACAGGAAATTAGCAGCGAACGGACAAGGCTAGAGCGGGTGGGTGTTTTATTGGTTGACAAGAAGCAAACGTCCCCACAGACCTACCCAAACCATAGCCCAGAAGCAGCTCAATAATTTTGGAGGTAAATGACATTCAATGTCCGATTCAAAATTCGACGGCATTTGATATTCGTTTCGAATTCGACCACATTTTATATTAAATTCGAGCATTGACCACATTCGATCGAAAAGAAGTTCCAGCTGGGGACTTTCTACTCAGTCAACTCAGGGAAAATATATGCTCAGGGTGGTTGGACCGAGCAAGTTCATGGTACTTACCAGGCAGCCACACCTTGTATAACGGAGTGGTGGCGCCTTGCATGATCAGACCGTTCGTAACGCCTTCCAAATGAGCGTCTGTCCCTCGGCCTTGGCGCTTCGTCCTTGCGGTTCTAGATTCCATATCGGACAAAAAATGGCAGTTCTTCGGGAATTAGCTAACAATGCAAATTAACAAGGACATAATGACATTTTGAGTGTCTGCATGCAATGCATGGCAGACAATCATCCAAGTGGATTGTTTCATTTTCGAATTATTTTGTACCTGCTCGTTGCAGCGGCATAGTTTGCGATCAACATAAGCGCTGGCGACGTCGGTATGTTCCGTTGCTAGTCAAGAACTTCAGGATGTCTGGTATGCTGGGCGTTACCCCTGCCGATGACCGACCCTGCGCGCCACCAGTCAGCAGCTGCAGGGTGCTGCTATCACACGCAATATCACGCAGTTCCAATGTACGTTCAGTGGCGCACCCATCACCCATACATAGTCTATCCGGGGTGCCACCCTCCCCGACCGGTCCGGGCCCATTCATTGTCCGGATAACGCGAATCGGAAAACGCCGTTCCAATCAAGAGGTGCCGTCTTCCGCGGGCGGGCGGCGCTGCAGGTGACCGCTCGCTGCCGCCTCGGCTTGGCGGAGGTCGGCGCTCCAAGGTAAGCGGCTGCAGAGGTCAGGGGGCACTGCCCTGCAGCAGGCAGTGCTGGGGACGCTGAGCTGCTCCGGCGCGGCCCGAGGACATCGCATGCGCCCATCGCGTCAGAGCAGACTGTGCGGCGGGCCGGGAGGTTGTCAGATTCTGGGCGAACAGTCAGCCCGTTGAGGAAGGGACACGCTGAGCCGCCTATGACGCACGTGCTAACACCGTGTCGCGGCCCCAGCGACAGGGCCTGACAGCCGCATATTTTGTAACCGGGGACAATGGCCGGTGCGAGCTCAAACCTGGCCCTGGTAGGATTTGCAGATTGACTCCAGAAACCCGGATTTCATGCAGCGCATAAATGCAGCGTCTGTTCAAGAGCAATGAATGCATGAAATGTATAATAATTTCCAGAAAATGGTAATTCTCTTGAGAGTTTTACCAAAGTGATCGCGTTTTTAGCCTGCTCCTAATGCCATAGATATGTGGAAGCTTGGAATGTATGTAAATGCACGAGCACGTGTGTGAATAGAACCTGGCTGGCGTGTTCAGTTGTAACGTCATTATACCGGCTGAGTTACGGGAAGACCGAGAATGAGCACTGTCATTGCAGCTGCCGCAGAAGGGGCTGAATAGTGATATGACGTGCTTTATTGTGCTGATCTAATCGGCACCCAGCAGTTCCTAGTATAGTAGATGTTTTTTCTTTTCTTTCCAGAAAACATGTGTCCCTATGTGCTCATATTATTTTGAGACAACTCTTCACCAAGTGCTTACCACTTCACTAGCAAGCAGAAATTTGAATTTAAAGGCTATCTGCTGGCTTACTGAACATGCGGGTAGTTACTCCTATTCGCCAGTCGGCAGTTGAGTCGCATGGGTACTGAGTAGTCAGCATGAATTAGTCATTGATGACGTTCTTGAGCGCTGACTAAAGCAATGACGCAACACAGACTAATGAGGGAAAATGTGCCGCCACCTGAGATAGGCACGGTCGGCCGGGGAAAACCGTGGCGAGCTGGCGCCAGTCAGACCGCGCCTCTTCCTACCTCGACAAAAACGGTGGACGGCGACTCAGGCTGGCGAACTACATGCGAACTAGTGCTAAAAAGTAGCACAGGTTTGCCGCCTGACGCACATAATGACGAAAGTCCATTGCACGCTGTCATCATCACTCAGAGAAAAATGATGCATGCCATTTATTAGCCATTTGCCATTAGACGTATTGAAACAAGTGAAAACTAGCATGTCGCTCCTTTCAACACACATCCCACATTCAGATACCGGAACTGAATACAAAATTGTCAACATGCTCAAAAAATTAAATAGACTGGAACCGAGTTTATCTCCAGTTGTGTGTATGTACTAAGTACAGTGTAACTTCAGATGGATGTAGTGCGGTATACAGTCTACCATCAGGTGTGTGTATTGCGGCACAGCCTATATTCAGTTGTTTGCAGTGCGGTACAGTCTACCTACAGGCGCTTGTAGTGCGGTACAGCCTACCTTCAGGCGCGTGTAGTGCGGCACAACCTACATTCAGGCGCGTGTAGTGCAGTACAGCCAACCATCGGGCTAGTAGGTGGGGCATTCTATAATTGTCAGAATCTATGTACAATTTCGCTGTAAGACGACCAAAAGCGTCTGCTTCCTAATGTATCCCAGGCAGTCCTGGGAACTGCTTGTGAATACTTGGGCAAAATTTGAAGGACGAAGTAAATGCACGCTTTACGGTCTCCACGGCTGGTAGCGTTATTTTATTGGTGAATGCGCACTGTGCAATGTGCATTGTGAAATGTGCACTGTGCACTGTGCAGTCTTCCCTCGGCCTACGTTCTGAGCCGCCTCTTGCACATTGCGCTCGCATTCCACTGCTCTGCAGCCGGAACGTTAGGGGGATCGGTGCGGGAAAAAGCCCTCTCCTGCATTGCCCCCCGGCGGGCCTCCGCCTCCCCGCGCCTGCAGTCGACCTTCGAGGAGCAGTCGGCGACCTTACCCTCCCCTCCCTCCCTCCTGACCGGCGCGGCGGTGCAGCCGCAGCTACCAGCTCCGGTATTGTGACCGCGCGGCCTGTGGGCCGGACCGGACGGCTCACAGCCGGTGGTATGCGGTGCTGAGTCGCTGCTCAGCTGCATTCCATCGCGGCGCCGCTGCCA